TCTTGACTTTTTGTATTTCCAATATCTCTATATCCTTTGCCATTAAAAAAAAAGAGAGAGAAATTGTTAACTTGTGCCTGTTGGTTTCTCTTTCTCTTTGGCTTCTTTCTTCTCATTCCTGCCCCATGATGGTGCCTAGGCAGACGTCATGGCCTTTAAAACATGGCCCATTCATCCCTCTAGCCTCATTTATTTTTCATTTTCTTTCAAGTACCCTGCACTCTATCTTTGGTTTATTCTCTGTTTGGAGAATATTTTGTCTTTTCCTATTTTTCTGAGGTCCATGCCCTTCCCCCAGTTTGAAAAGCTCATCTTCCTTGCTCTACCTTATACTCTTTCCCTTCTCTGTTCAAATAAGACCTTATAACACGGTGACGTGAGATATATTTAGCCAGTGAAGCCCACCCCAAGACCCAGGCAGAGCTGAGGAACAGTGAAGTGGACTTTGAGAGATGAAGTATACTACCAGTGTGAAGACTTCTACAACAAGCTAAAATGAATTATGACTACTAGAATTTGAATCCTGATTCTCTGGCTTAGAAGCTTCGTGACCTTCTGTGCACTTCAGTGTCATCCATAAAATGTAGATGCGACGATGGCAACTGCTTCAGAGGGTTGTGAAAATGGAACGGAGAGGTCGTCTTTGTAAGTAGTTAGCAGGGCACGTGGACAAAGCAAGCTTTAACAAATCTAACTCATTGTGGGCCTTTTGTTTCCTTTTCAGGATTCACTCTATATTCTTTTAGGTATTTTCTGAGCACTTGAAGAAACAAAGACTCTTCATCCGCTAAGCGTCTGCTTCCTTCCATAATCTGGAAAGCCCCAGAGGCCAGAACACAGAGGAAAAGAGAAACAAACAAACAACCAGTCTCGGGAGGAGTTGCAGTATTTGGCTGTTGGCAGAGGCCAAGGGAAGCTGGGCTGTCCAGGGGAAAAGCAGGATGACAGAGAATCTAAAGGGGAAAAGAGGACTCCCAATGGGAGGTCTTTGAAAGTGATAACACTTCTGATTGTGACTCTATGTTGTTCATCTTTGATTTTATGTGGCTCTTCCTGTTCCTCCTGAAGGGTCCTGAATAAATCCCCCTTCCTTTGAGTGAAAGAAACGTGGACACATCAGAGGAAGCTGAAGAGAGAATACAACAGGAATGTGGGTAACTGACCTGGGGACTGGGGGTCGGGCTGACGGAGTTTTAAGGCCAGGGTCAACCTAGAAAGGAGGATGTTAAGTCCTCCATCACACTGTAAAGGGCTGGCCAGGTCTGGTGGGTAGTGCTGATATGAAGATCACCTCTTGGAAATGGGATGAGAGGATGGGGGAAGAAAGAGAGAACAGGGAACACTTCGCTTTGCTTCAAAACTGACAAAGGAAGGAGTAAATCCAACCTTTCGATAAAGGAGAGACAGTTTTCAGGGTCCAAGGGGAGTTTTGAGAAAAGAAACTGAGCAGTAGACTGATTAGGAGCATGTTTATTTGGTTGTAGAAGGAAGGCACAGGGTTTTCATAAACACAAAGGCTCCATTCAAGTAAGTTATGCATTACTGCTTTATGGCCTGAGGACCAAACAAATATGCAAGTGAACATGGAGCTTGCTGATGCACTGCCTCTTTGACCAATCCAAACAGGGTTCATAAACACAGATTCTGTTCAGATCTTGAGCAATCAAGATGACTCAAGATCAAGCATTTGAAGATGACTTAGAAATCTGTAGAGCTGGTGTGGTTTGCCTAGCACCATAAAGAGTCCTAAGATGAAGCTGTAAATTATATTCTTGTCTAATTTTCCAATTTCTAGGAAGAATGCATATGAAATGATTAATTTTCTGACATTTTTAATGATTTCAATCAACTAGTATCTGTATAAGAGATAAGTCTGGGCAGAGAATATAGATTTGGGTTTTTTCTTTCCTTAGCTTCTGACCTTTATTTTCAACTGAGTATCCACCCCCCTCGCCCCCCACAGAAAAAAACCAACTGTTTGGTTCCCCCCAACACCTGGCTAATTTTCCCAGAATTATTCATTTACTCATGTGATTATTATGGAAGCAACTGTTAATATATAACCCTGCCTTCTGGCCCAGTGATGAATCCACTCAACTTGGGTCATGTGCTTATACCTGGACCAGAGTTCATCTCTAGTCAAACTGAATCCCAGTTTATCTGAGGAGATATAAACTTGGGCTCACTGACTGTGGTCATTTTCTAACACGTGAACTTGGAAAAACAAATATGTTCTACAGCAAGATAAGCAGATTAGCAAGATGGGATGAAGAAATGGAGTCTCTGGTTCTCTGATTCCAACTCATTTTGGACACCCAGGTGCATCCCTGTTATTAAATTCTGTAAGATACCTCTATATCCTTTTAATTTATCCCCTATTGTTAAGTTAGTTGGAGTCAGCATACTAAACACCAGCCTTTTGCTTTGAAGCAACAGAAGTTAAGGCAATGTGAGTTTGACTGTGGACATCTTTCTCTTTGCTTCCCAGTCTGGTTCTGTATAACTTAACTGTAAGGCATAAAAGAAAGGGATCAAATATAATATAGGTCTTTCTTCATCTGGACACCACCATGGAAGTGTGCCTGGGATGAGAAGGTTAATAGAAAACAGTATCAATAATGAAGCCGAAATGTCCCTATTCTTCTCCAGGTCACCAGACATGTATTTGGTCTTTGCTTTTATTTTCCCCTTTCAGAAAGTCTTAAACTGAATAACCAGTATATGTTAAAAGAAAAAGATTTCAAATGTGACAGATATGTATATTTGACTCTGGTACCTTTGAAAATCTTAATAAAAGATAATTTCCTAAGAGTGTTGATAACTAGTTATTATATCTGAGTCTTACTATTTCCTTGCTACTGATGGAGGATACGTTAATTCAGAGGATATTAAAGATTAAAGATGATGATGAACAGAAACCACATAACACAACATCTGATATGGTGTCTGTATAACCAATAAATTTTTTTTTTGAAGATTTATTTGAGAGAGAGAGAATGAGAGATAGAGAGCATGAGAGGGAAGAGGGTCAGAGGGAGAAGCAGACTCTCTGCTGAGCAGGGAGCCCGATGTGGGACTTGATCCTGGGACTCCAGGATCATGACCTGAGCCGAAGGCAGTCACTTAACCAACTGAGCCACCCAGGCACCCAACCAATAAATTTCTACTTCCATACTTTTAAGAGTAGTTCTAGGCACTACTGAGAGTGTATTCCCATGTAGGTCAACACTCATGTGATAGCTGTTTCAAACAGTCTGCTTAACAACTTGGCATCTGTACCTTTTGCTAGTACTAAAATTACTTACCTACCTAGAATGTATTCTATTTCTGAATACCATGAAGTAGGAATCAGCTTCTAAACACCTGATAGTAATGCACTGAGTTCCCAAAGAGCAGGAAAAAGAAACTTCTCCCTAACATAAAAACAAACCAACATCATGAGGTGGTTAAGCACATTTGATAACATTTACATTTTGAAAAGTCACACTGTTGTTTCTCCATAAGCAACCCAAAGAATTGACTATGTTTATCAAATACAAGAGTATCAGATGTATTAAAAAATCTGATGTCAAGCAACAAAGGCATAGTTCAGCTTGGCACTCAAAACAGAAATTTCTCCCCAGCGTTTCTCTCAGAAGTCTGCCCTGCTTTGTGTTTCATTCACACTAGTATTCCCTGAAGCGAGCTGGAACCCACTGTTAGCGCTCAGATATTGAACTACACACTTCCAAAGTGGACTAGTTCCCTGCCATTGCTACCCTCAAACAGAAAATCCCACGCAGATCAGATACAACCCCTGCCCTCACACTAAGCAATCTATGCCATTTAACTAGTGCCTGGGACCCATACAGAGTCTCAGTGTTTGGATCTTAAGAGACTAAAATCAATTCTGCTTGAAAAATGGGAGACTGGATTTCCTGTGGGGAGTCCCAAGGATTTTCCCTGTCTCTCTGCAGGACTATCTATTTTCCCCTTTCATAGTCTGTCACCTCAAGGCTCAGGCATTGCACCCCTTGTTTCTCTGCTGGTAAAACAAGGATGGGCAAAGCTCATTCCTGCCTTGTAGTGAATGATCTCACCAAGATGGAGGAGATACCCTAGGCATTCCAGGGAGTGGTGCAGACACTCTACCCTCTGCATGACCACCTGCTTCCTCCCTTTCCGGACCACTTTTGTGATTATTCATTGAATCATTTTTTTTTAACAGATTTGTAATTAAGTACCATCTAGTTGTTCATGCCCCATGAGACAAAAGCTTATTTTTCTTTCGATTCTAGGCATATGAATGAAAGTTCCCTCACTTAAATATTTACACACACACACACACACACACACACACACACACACACACACACACAGTGCTAGACTGGACTGCAACTGTGAATCAGACAAGTAAGGTTCTTGTCTTCATGGGGTTCTTAGCAAGGAAGTATAAGTAACTACCCTAGAGAAAAGGGTTTTCATATACTTAAGAACTTCAAGATTCTTACCTGGTCTTAAAAATCAGACAATATGAAATAAACAATGTGCTTGACCTTATACTTCTCACAAGTAATCACAGCACCCAAATCAGCTTATAAATGTCAAAAAAAAAAAAAAGCTCTCTGCAAAACAGCATGTTACCAATGAAGTCATTCCACACTACTCAATTCACTCTAGGTTTAAATAAATTTATCACCTAATAATCCTTTTTCTAAGAGACTTCCAGGATTTGTCCTAATAAAAACATAGTCAAAGAAAAATACTGGTTTGGTCCCTCGCCTCTTCTGCTAAGTGTCATGGACATAACTGGAAGAACTTCCTAAAAATCGATTTCTCAAGTCTATAAACAATTCCCCAGGGAGTCCCCCTATACGAAGACATGGTCCCTTTAATGTAGGTCAGCTCAATCCTTTGCCAAGACCAGGTCTGTGACTTACCAGTTCATTCTTCTCCAAGCAGAGAATGGAAATGTTTCCCCTTCTGCTAATGCTCGATGAGTGACTCGGAAGCATGGTGGGCAGAATGAGTTTATTTCTCCACTTTAGCCTGTTTTACCTCTTCCTTATGTGAACAACCAATACAATTAAAGTAGAAAGACAATTTTTGCTCTTCTTTATTACAGGAATTACTTTGCTTCTGCCTATACCTGACCTGGTAACTATTTTGCTGCCTAATCCTGACTCAACAGTCACTACCTTCAAGCTTAAACTATATCAGAAGTTGTGTTTCACAGCATCATGGCGACAACACGTGATGTACACATCAGAGCCCCTTGCAATAGGCAAGGCCAATGGTTTCCACCTGCTTGCCTTGCAATTTGTCTCCAGGCACAAGCATTCCCACATCATACTCTTAAGCCCTGTAATGAATTATTTTGAACACATATAACCATCATTCTAAGGTCAACAGCCCACATATATAGTTTTAATTCCCTTTCATTATAGTGTATGGCTCCCAAGCTGGCTTTTTATGCCTTGTCCTTCTTGTGTCATAGATTTAGGGAAGAGAAAGGCAGAATATTAGGTAGTTACCAGAGCCATGAAGATTCCCTTGGTGACAAAAAAGATCCAAACTTTAGCCCAACTAGCTTGTGGGTGAGCCTTCTTTCCAGTGCATCTGTTCTAAATTTTTCTTTTTATTATTTCCATTCTCTACTCTGATGTCACAGTCCCCATTCTAATCCAGACACAAACACATACAACAGATGCACAACCTATCCCTGTGGCCCAGAGTCTGCCACTGACTGGCAAGGGCACCTTTCTGTCTAACTGGCTGAGACTGTCGGGAGAGGCTCTATCAAACAAAGGCACTGCTGTACAGATGCTGGCTCTAAGAAGGAGAGGCAGGAGGGCTACCGCAGGCGAAATCCATGGCCTGCCTTCTTCCATCCCTGAGAAAGGGACAAAAATATAGGATGGATCTGAGATCTTCACAACAATCCTGTGAGGTAGGAGAGTCTGCAATTACTATACCCATTTTTCCATTGAGGACACCTAAAACCCTCAGACACTGGGATGTTTCAGACCCAACTGTAATGAAGGATATGCAGACGGGTGACCTGAGAAGCAAGTCTGCCCATCTTTTTTCATTTGAATGTGGGAAGTACTTGATAAGCTTTACAATCTTTTTTCAACAGTTTTGTGAGAAGCAACTTACTGCATTTAAGGCCACTTCAGTTTCTTCATCCGTAAAGTGACCATAAGAACAAGGCTCGCAGGTTTTCTGATCCTGACACTTGGGGAAAAGGGCAGGACCAGGATCCAGGTCTCCTTAGAGTCTGAGATAGAGTGATTTTCCCAGCTTACGTTCAGAGAGGGGATGCACACTGGGGTGGCCCGGGCAATGTTGCAAGGCATTTCTCTAGTTAGGGGGTCAGAGAGTTGGGGTCCAAATGGGTTGCTCAGTAGCAGCAAACCTCAGGCAAAGCATCCTATCCTGGTATCAGCACAGTAACCAGCTCTGGACATGAACAATTATCTTTTGGCTTTTTGGTAAGCCCTATGCAAAGGGTTTCCTGGAGGGTGGACCCACTTCACCACCCGCGCTGACTTACTTATGGCACCCTCAGGGACTGGGGAAGAGCATGAGCTACAGAAAGGACAGAGACCTGACTGACACCAACACGTTATCTTACAACTGCTTTGATCCTTGTCCTCAGCCCTGTCATGCTTCCCTCACGGGGGTTCCATGCTCCTTGGACTGAGCCTCAGCTTTTATACATGAGTAGGTTAGTGAGAGACCTTGGCCCAGTAGCAACAGACTACTGGTCAGGGAGAGGGCTCCCTGGATCCTCGACTCAGCTTAGTTCAAGGGGATCCTTGTTGGTGGCAGGAGCCTCCAAGGCCCTTGTGGGCCAGGTGAAACTCCAAGGCCGCTGGCTAGGATGGTGGCCCTCTCAGTCCTCCCCGTCCAGGGAGCAGATGGCCAGAGGGGCTGTGTTGTTCGCTCCAATGCTGTAGCAAGGACTAAAGTAGGGCAGGAGACGCCCAGGGAAGGGATAGTGGGGGAAAGTGAAAATGTGGGAGCCGTTGTCAGTCACATTGTAGAAAGAGATATCATGGGCCTCATAATCCAGGAAGACTCCCACCCGGTGGGGAGGGACTGGCAAGGACAGGAGGGGGTATTCATCGGTGCCTGCTCGGTACTCGTTTCCCTTCCGCAGCCTGATCACCCAGAATCCATAGTGGGGGGATAGATAGACCACCTCCTTCCGGTCTACATTTTCCCTACACACTCCCAGGCCCCATTCTGACCTGTCTCCCACTTCCACCTCCCAGTAGTGCCGGCCTGAGGAGATGCACTGGCTGCCGAGGACGATATTGTAGCGGTAAAATCTCTCAGGATTGTCGGGCAGTTTCTGCTTGGTGTCTCCGTATCGCACGCATTTTCTGTCCTCAGACACAATGAGGCGAGAATAAGCAGTGTCTGGATCCAGACGCACGTCAGCTGGGGAAAAAGATCCTGGTTGGTGACACTGACCCACAGCAGAAGGCATGGGTGTGGTCTCTCTGATAAACACAGCCACAGTTTTTTCAGAGATGAGCAGGACGGGGGAGAGCTGGGGCATCCAGAGCGCACTGAACCATTTTCATTCTCTAGGAGGGGTCCCTCCCACCGCCCACCATAACCTCTCCTAGCATTCATTACCTGCATAGGTCTTCAAAATCTCTCTTAGCCCCAGCACGCGGCAATCCGTCTTTAGCTCCAGGGAGACCGGTTCTGGCCTCCGCAGACTCCAAGACTTGCTCCTGGCAGAGAAGGGGTAAGCCTTGGGGCCAGAAGTCCTGCTTCTGCCATATGGGCCTTCCCTTACCATAGGAAAAATGGGCTTGGCCAGAGATAGTCAATGGGGTGCCCCACCCCAGCAACACCAGGCAAAGCAGTGATGTGATGATTATTTGACTGAACCTGAATGGTCTGTGGCACAGAGAGAACACTCGCATTCTTGTGCTGGGGGAGCGGCAGATGTACATTTGGCACTGGGGGAGGAAGCAGTGTGCCACAAAGGAGAAAGGCCAATACTCAGGCTGGAGCATGATGGGAGACATCGGCGGTCTTTTTCCTTTCTTGGGCAATCTACCTGAGACTACATATTTTATAACTTTGTCTGAAATTCTTATTGGTAATACTTGAAATGAATTTGACTGAGTACAAAGAAGGAAAAAGACTGATAAACAAAGCTTCTTTAGCAAATACAATGAAAGATGATGCTTATGCACCAGCAGCCACTCTTCTGTGGGTACCAGGTCTATGTTCCTTCCCCATATCTGCCTCTGGCCAGGTCCCACTATCCTTTATAGGGCAGCTTAGGGGCTCCAAGGATGGGAACATACCTGTTTAAGACTTCCTGAATACCCTAGAAGGAGGGAAAAAAAAAAAAAGCAGGACATGAGTATGTGCTATTCCTCAGAGGGACCAGACCACACTGAGCTCTGGGAGGGGGTTTCTCTGAGGGAAAGGGAGGCAGAGAGCAAGGCTATACGTCTTGACTTCAGACTCCACCTTGACTCCCAGGCCAGAGGCGGGGTACGGGTATTATGCCAGAGCTGCCTGAGTGCTGTCCACCTACAAGGCGACAAAAGGCCATGCGAGGGGTAGAGCAGCAGGCAGAGTGGAGGGGGTGGTATATGGGATCCATGTCTGATGGGCAGAGCACTGACAGGCCCCACTGAAGGCTAGTGAATCCTCTCCTGGAGTCCCATACCATCTTCAGCTCTCCTTCAGAGCTCCCAGAAAAATTTGCCACGTACCTGCAGCATCCAGCGGACAGGCCTCTGAGATCTCTCTTCCAGCTCTGCAATCATCCTCCACAGCACTCGGCTCTGCTGGATGAGCTCATTGTGATTCTGCTCCAGTTTTTGCATGGTCTCCCCCTCTTCCTGCTCTAGGCTGGCCAGAGCTGCGGCTGCTTCCACCTCTAGTCGCCGACCTGGTGGCTGTTTTTTCTTTAGTAATCGCCGGTATTTCTCAAACTCCCACATGATATTCTGCTTTCGGGTTTCCACCTGTATCTGTAGAGCCAGGACCAGAAATCAGCACTGATTCTGTACCTGTAAGGGCCCCCCAGGACTGAGGGCGCTGGCACATGCATACACACACACTCTGGAATGTGGGTACCAACTGTGTATCAGGCACCGCAGAAGCCAAGATAAAGGAGACCGTTTTGTCTACCTCTCTGGCTTCTGGGTCCCTAACACTACTCTTATTGGCCCTAATAGGTCCCAGGACATTATCTTGGTACTATATCCTCTAGGCTATTCTCTCTTTTCAGAATAATATATTCCATTTTCAGAATAACGACCAGAAGGATTACACTTAGGCCTCTAAGGCAGTGTAGCTTAACTACACTATGAGTTTTGCTCCTTACTGATATATCAATTCCCTATGCTTTCTTAGACTGGCTCAGTGTTACCTTCTGTGGATTGAAAGTTCGATGGTTTGGTAGTTATGGTCCTCAAGTTTATCACAGGGATGATTTTCTAATATTTTAATAACTTAACTTTTAGTAAAAATGTTCTACCTGGGGAAAGTGAAACAGATACCATGCTTTACTAAGCATTGTATAAGTCTTACCACTGTGAACTAATGCGTACGTGAAGCACATAGTTTTCCTTTCTCACGTACGTGGACATAAACCCAGAGGTTATCCCTTTATCACTATTAAGAAACTGGAGTGGAGAGGGTACATGGCCTGCCTAAGGCCACGTGCTTGCTAAAGAATGCTGGGTGGAGAAGCCCAGGCTCTCTGACTTCAACGCCACATTCTGCACGGAGACGAGAAACAGGACGCGGCCACGGGTCAGCTCCTGGACAACACAGCGACAGCACAGCCTCCCTCCCCCAGGTGGCAACCTGCCTTCCAGTTGGCAGTTCGTTTCCTCTCACCAACTTCCAGCTTCCAGGCCTCATCTTGCTCTTTCCTCAGATGCTCCAGAGCCTCATGGAGTTCCCACTGAAAGAAGTAAAAAAATCGTGAGGACATGTCCGGCAGCCCAGGTTAATGACAAGGCTTCCTAGCATTAGCAGGTGATGGGAAAATAAGTATCCCTTGGGCAAGGGGCCAGAATGAATGCCACAGGGGGAGTGATTCCTGCCCAGATGACATCCAGGGCAGCTCTCCAACCCACAATCATTTCAACTCCCACAGTTTCCAAGTTTCTGTAAAGCAGAAGAAAAGGTCCATTTCCAACCTTAGACATTCCTATCCATGCTTATTTTTAGCCGTATCTGCCTTGTTATCTCATGACCTCTTAAAACCTTATTCAAAGTGTGGTCCAAGTGGGTTAGCAGCATCCCCAATACCAGAAAGCTTGCTAGAAATGCAGAACCCCAGACTCACCCCAGACCTACTGAATTAGAACCTGAATTTTAGCAAGATCCTTGGGTGGTTCACGCAAATTAAAGGTAAGAAGCCGTGTCCTAGAATACTACAACACTTTACTGCAGGAAAGCATAAAGTGTTCTGATAAAAATATTAACCATTTTATTAAAGATTTACCAGGTGGCAATGTGGCTTCAGCACTAAACTTACATTTAGTACTTATGACCCCTTGAGTTTTATCCCTATTTTATAGATAAGAAAACTGAGGCTTAGTGAGCGAACTACCCAAAGTCATTTAGTTAGTTAATGGTTGGGCTGGGATTTAACCCAGCTCTCTAACTGCTACGCCTATATTTCACTACCTCCCTATTTTAAAACTCAAAGTAAAATGAGTAAATACATATAATTTTTTAAGAAATTATTTGTGCATAGGAAAACACCTAATTCAGGGGATTTGTCTTACACTCTTACATTCTAATCTCAACTTCAAGAAAGAGAATTAAGACCAGTACTAGATCAATGGATCACAGAATCACTGGGATAATGAACCTGATAAAGATATGTCAGCGTAGACATCTGAGGAAGGAGCAAGAAGTTGGAAGCTGATGAAGGTTAACAAGAGAAAAGGAGTAGCAGGTGTGACAGAGATAACCCCCCCGCCCCCCCAAAAAAGGGTAGGGAGAGGAGAAAGAACACTGGCTGAAGAGCAAGACTTGAGTCCTAGCCTTTGATCTTCCTTTAACTAATTTAACCTGAAGTCACAGGCACCTTATAATGTTAAGATTAATCTCACCCAATCCTAAATCATTCAGCCATGGTCCCTTCCAGGTCTAAAACCAATGATCATGATCTCAAATTTCTAAGCCTCAATTCTGTCGATAACAGAGGGAGTTGAAGTGACTCTGCCAAATGACTATTGGTGGCAGTGTGAGGAGGAGTTTGCAGGTTCTGCAGGGTGCAGCCTTGACTGTCTCATGCCCGAACTCCTCCGAGGCACTCAGAACCCCAGCTAACCCAAATTGGTCTCCTTCAAATTCTCAGTATGGAAAGCATGTTTGGATTAGGCATTAATCCATGCTGGTATCAGGGAAGGGGTGTGGATGTGGGAGGGAAGGAAATGCAAGGAGAGGTGTGGCTCACTACATCAGGTCCCCAGGATCTGTGGGTGTGAGGAGTCAAAGGAATCAGCTCTCATTTAGTCTCTGGGGCTCCTGCTCAAGTCCTTGATCTGGAGATAGCCAAGAATGGGGCAGGGGAGAGATTGGGGTGGCTGGCCTCCATCTCCCACCTTATATTCCCAGGTGACATCCTCCATGGGCACGACACTGTGGGCCTCATGCTCAGGGGACTGGCTGCAGGCCTCACACATGATCAGGCCATCCTCTTTGCAGAACATCTTTAGCTGTTCCCTGTGGAGCTCACACACGTCACCCTTCAGCCCCATTCCTGGATGCAGCCCCAGCAGACGAACTTTTTCTACAACGTTGGCCAGCTGCCAATTGGGCCGCAGGTTCCTTGGCTGGACAGGAGCCCGGCAGAGGGGACAGCTGTAACCCCAGTTCTGGGATTCTCCTGGGACCTCCCACAGTCCAGAGAGGCAGCTGTGGCAGAAGCTGTGGCCACAGTCGATGCTCACAGGCTCCCTCAGGAAGGTCATGCAGATGGGACAGGCCACTTCTTCCACAACAGCTTCCACCAGTGCTGCAGCATCCATGGCTCCTTCTTACTCCCTCCTCAGAACATGAATACAGCCAGGCAAGGCTGAGAAGGAGAAAAAGAAGAAAAAAACAAGTAAGATAAAAATGTTCTTCTGTTGAAGAACAAAGGGATCAGCAAAAGGGAGAATTAGTGACTGAAAGAAAAAAACAAACCAACTTCCTCCTTTGGATCCTTTATTGACCTTAGTTAATATAAGTGCTGGCCTTCTCAACTGAGGTTCCGACCGGGTCACATTATCCATACCACTGTGGAGACATCTGGGGATGCCTAAGTGAGTGGATATTGAGAGTTTTCAGTTTTCATTCATTTGGTCATCTCTTATTCTCCTCTGAGTTTGCTCACCAGACCATTCCTACCCTACTTCAATCACACTCTCCAAATCAGTATTGTTTCTTTTGAGCTTGGGAAAGGTCCCACAGAATGTGGTGTTTCAGTATCCAAAATAAGGCCAGAAATGCCCCTAGCCTTACTCTCTAGTATGTTTATATGTCTATTTATATACTTCAAGGTGCAGAAAAGGTAGTATGTCAGAAGACCATTGCCTATATGCTCAGTTTGTTCTCTTGCATTGCACACTTGAGTGTAAAGTGTAAGGGAACCAGCAATGCTTTCTCCACACCCTCTAAACCCCTGCCAATTTCCCTAGCACTAGCATTCACTAAGTTGCCAAGACATTCTCCTCAGCCTTCAGTGATATGTTTAGAAGCAGAGATGAAACAACACCCATTGGAAGATAAAAACACAGCTCATCTGATGACAGTCAAACCCATACTGATTAAGTCACTACCCCAGCAAGAAACCTGAGATTTTTGCCAGGGCCAGATAAGAGTATGGAACTTGAATGATCAATGGCAGACTTTTGGCTCAGTAGACAGTATTTCTTTGTTTACTTTCCAAGTCTGTGTTACCAGCTAGAATCTATAAAGGGAAGAGCCCTGTTGGTCTCAGTCATGGCTGTATCCTCCATACCTAAATGGTCTGCCATGCTGTTGAATAAATAAACCAGGTAGACATAGGAAATACCTCCTAGACCCAAAATGTTTTTATATTTTGTTAGGTAATTGAGAGCATATTATACAGTAAAAATAATAGCAAACATTCCTTAAGCACTTACACTGTGTGCCAGGCACTATTCTGAGCCCTTTACACCAATTAACTCAGTTTATTTCACAACCCTAAATGGAAACCATTATTCTATTGTTTTCATTTTACAGATGCTTGGTCCTAGGCCCCACCATTCTATCCTGGGCAAATTACTTAACCTCTCTAGCTTCACGGTAGAATGAAAATTCAAGAGAGAGAAATTGGGCGCCTGTGTGGCTCAGTCAGTTAAGCACCTGCCTTTGGCTCAGGTCATCTCAGGGTCCTGGGATCAAGTCCTGCATCGGGCTCCCTGTTCAGCGGGGAATCTGCTTCTCCTTCTACCCTCTCCCCTCTGTTTGTGCTCTCTCTCTCATGCTCGCTCCCTCTCAAATATATAAATAAAATCTTTTTTAAAAAGAGAGAGACCACATCTTCTTTATCCAGAGAAAGTCAATTATCATATGGTTTCACTTATTTGTAGAACATAAGGAATAGCATGGAGGACATTAGGAGAAGGAAGGGAAAATGAAAGGAGGAAAATTGGAGGGAGGGATGAACCATGAGAGACTGTGGACTCTGAGAAACCAACTGAGGGTTTTAGAGGGGAGGGGGGTGGGGGATGGGTCAGCCCAGTGATGGGTATTAAGGAGGGCACGTACTGCATGGAGCACTGGGTGTTATATGAAAACAATGAATCATGGAACACTACATCAAAAACTGATGATGTATTGTATGGTGTCTAACATAACATAATAAAATAAAATTAAAAAAGAGAGAGAGAGAGAGAAATCACCATGATTTAGGGTAGTCCAGTAGGCTTCCTGAAGAAACTGGAGTAGTATGTAGATTTTGCAGGGCTCTCTGTTACAGGCCAGCAGCAGGTCATGCCTTCTCACGGGCCTCCCTGCCTCCTAATTCCCCCCCCACCACTATGACTGCCAAACTGTGGGACCCAGTATCCTAAAACCTAGTTTTGTGAAATCCCTAACCTACCGAGAACCATCAGTCCAATAGGGAAGCTCTCTCTCTTCAACTCTGAAACAGCAACACTGCCCAGTTAAGCAAAGAGAGAAATTTCCACACTTTCTTGCAGACCTCACGTCCATTTATTCTACCCAACTTGGGCTCCTGCTGTTTTCACAGCTTGAAATGACTTCTCCATGATCCTGCTCTTAATATCATTTGATACACACGCTTATTATCTTACTTCCCATGCTGGAAGCTTCACAGGGATAGGGATATTCTCTTTTTTAAAATTTTTTTTTTAAAGATTTTATTTATTTGAGAGAGAGAATGAGAGAGAGAGAGCACGAGAGGTGGGAGGATCAGAGGGAGAAGCAGACTCCCCGCTGAGCAGGGAGCCCTATGCGGGACTCGATCCAGGGACTCCAGGATCATGACCTGAGCCAGCCCAAGGCAGTCATTTAACCAACTGAGTCACCCAGGCGCCCCTAGGGATATTCTCTTATTTTGTTCACTACTATATCCCCAACATCAAGAACAGTGACTCAAACATTTTTGAATATGAAAGAATTAAGTGTAAACGTTGAGGTCTTTTAGTAGGTTGGAAGTGGAAGTGTCAATTTCATCTCATACAGTGGGGCACCAAGAGCTACCACCTAAAAGTGACACAAGAGAAGTTGGTATCTATGATTTAAAGCTACAAAGATCAACAGGAGAATGCAAATAAAAATCGAAAACTGAGAAGATGGTGGCAGTAGGGAGGTGAGGTAAAGAAATAGCAAAACGATAAATCAAGAAATGCTGCAAAAGCATATTTTAGATTTCAGAGTCATAAAGATTTAAACATGAAAAAAGTTCAAAGTGGTGGCCTGGGCAAGAACGACTTAGGGTCAGCTAGCTACTGTTGCTCTTCCATATAAGACCGGCTTTATTGATTTATTTTTGTATTATACATAAATTACTTTGACAAAACTTTAATCATTACACGTTTAATTGCTTCGACCTTGCCTTTGCAAGGGTGGGGATCCAGTCTGGGAAAGACATTTGAGGGAGGGGGACACAACGTGGAAAAGCCTGGAGAGGAGAGACCAGAGCGGAGAGGGGAGAGGGAGGCGGTGACCCCGGGGGTTCTGGAACAGAGGGGGATGGTAACCTCCCGGCCACAAGAATCCGGAGCAGGGCCCGCGGACAGCGGACGGCTGGGGATAGAAGAAAGTGAGCCTGCAGGACCTCCGACTTCAGAACAGGCACAGCTGTCCCCCACCTCCCTCCTCAGCCGGGACTAGCGCCCCGCGGCGGAAACCGAAAGTGGAGACGCCCGCTTCCCACCGCCGAGGACCCGCAGCGGCACAAGCGCCGGGCCAAGCCACCGCAGCACTTACCGCCGGCCGGCAGATGAAGGCCCCAAAGCTGCCGGCTCCTCCGCCTCTCCAGCAGGGCTCCCAGGCCCCGCCCACAGGCCGGGAGCCAATGAGCGGCGAGCAGGGCCCAGGCGCCGGGATCGCACGCCGGCGACGTCTTTGTGGGAACAGCCAATCACAGACAGGGATCAAGACAACTCTAACCAATCGGAGGTTGGCTCTCGGCGTGCCAGTGCTTTTTTTCTCTGCTACGTCGGTTTTTCTGGTTCTTTCTCCCGCTCAGAGTCATTTAAACTGTGAAAGGGGTTCGGGGTAGGTCGCATGATAGGCGTGGGCTCCCGAATGAGGCCGCTCAAGCCCTGCATTAGCAGAGGCCCTGCTGACTCTTGAGCCAAGGGACCCCCTAAGTCTTATGCTTCCGCTCTGACTGGAGGCTCTGCAGAGCGAGCCTTGTTCCTTCCAGGTGGTAGCACCAGACCTAATGCTATTCATTTGCCAGTTTTCTGTGTTAAAACTCAGCAGCCTATGAGGTCAGTCGCGTCTGGTTTTGTGACCCAATTTAGCGCGGGCCTGGGCACTCATATGCAGTTTCTTGTAAGATTAAGCTACTATTGCTTTTCCATATAAGACCGGATTTATTGATTTATTTTTATTATACATAAATTACTTTGACAAAACTTTAATTATTAAACGTTTAATTGCTTCGACCTGCCTTTGCGAGGGTGGGAAGCTCCAGGTTGCAGATACTGGGTTCTTATGAAAAAAACAAAACAAAACAATCCTCCTGCGTTTTCTTGGCAAACTCTTACCATTGAATACTGAAGAAGGCAGCTGCTTATCACTTGCTGCCGCAGTCCACTTTAAAGTTAGAAGTAGAGACGGGGATTAAGGAGTGCACTTTTCTGATGAGCACTCGGTGATGTATGGAAGGGTTGAATCACTATGTCCTACACCCGAAGTGATAACATTGTATGTTAACTAACTGGAAGTAAAATAAAAACTTAAGAAAAAAAAATAGAAACAGATACTGGGATCTGGTAGAGTAGAAGTGGAATCCCCAGTCGCAAATTGTCATTATTTTTTTTTCTTTTAATTTTAAATGACTGGCACCCCTACCTCACCCAAACACATAGACTCGGTCGTGTGCCCACACAAACTGCTACTTAAGGCAGTGATTTGGGTTTTTCTTTGCACTTACAGCACCTTGTCCTTTTCCTGATATTTAGGTGTTTACTGAATAAGCAAATAAGGCATGTCCTGTCCACATGGAAAATAACCAGGAAATGCTCCAATTGAAGCCCAGGTCTAGATTTCATTGTTGGGACTGATACTCTTTGGATCTTCATGCTAATGTCAGGGCCCAGGTCATGGTTGAAACTTTGAAGAGCGAGGACCAGAAAATCCTTGAAACAAATGGGGCTATGAACAAAAGAAGAAAAGAGGTAACTGATGTCTCAGTTGGATCATCTTACCAGGATCTGGACAAATTGCTGCCTAACAGAAGAGTGAATGGGTTAAGTGAAACAAGCCACTTTAAAACATTTATTGAGCATCAGCTTTTCACAACATTTTGTACTGGGTGCTGGGATTACAACTATGAGCCATATAGTCTCTGTTCTTCAGGAGCTCAAGATCAAGTTGGTGGTACTTTGGAGCTTCTGTGAAGTTAAAATAGTTAATGGGGAGATCATTTTCGTTTGTAACTTGCAATTGTCCATGACCATGACTGACTCTCAAGGGCCCAGACAAAAAGGCACCTTGAGGTTGCTGGGGGAGAGGGCTTGTGTTCACCAAGGGAAGGCTGGACAGAGAGCTTTTGAAGGCCTATCAGCCCATCACCCCTGCAGAGAAGCTGTCCTTCCCAGCCTCACTCAGGGTGCCTTGTTTGCTGTGAAAAGCAGACATGTGTATACAGGCAAGGCTCTGTTTTGGAGACATTCCATGGCTGTGACTGCAGACCACAACCCCCTGCCTGAATCCAACACAGACCAGGACAACAAGGTGAGTGGCTAGCTGTGAGATGGTGTCTGGGCTGTGGGTAAGGAATGTTACCATAAGAGAAGTAAAGATTGAGAACTGGGTGGGGGTCAGGAAAGAAGGTGAGGGCATTGAGGAAGGGCTAAGGAAGGGGCAGGAAGCTGGTACAAACCCTGGGACCTCACTAAGCTTCATACAAGCTTAAGCTTGAACTTTAGACGGTAGGAGAGAGCTGCCCATGGTAGTGGCAAAGCAGTCAGAAGAAAGACCTGTGAGGAGTGAGGCTAAGAGGAGTGCACCTCAGACAATGGGTAGTTGCCCCACTCTACCTCAAAAGTCTCTTTCTGGACCTTTTATAATAGAATAAGACCTCCTGTTCTTCCAGTATTCTAGGTTGTCTTCAGTTTCCAGAAAGCAAGGAGGACACTTCCCCAGAGTCCAAGTAGGGGAAGTTAGGGCCTTCCTCTCACATCCACTCAATGTTAGCCCAAGCTAAGAGAGAAGTCCCAGCTCAGAGCAGCAAAGCCACAGACCTTTGTTAATACTCTTACTTAGGCAGAGAAAGAGAGTCAGGGATAGAGGAGCAAGGGAAGCCTAGAAGCTAAAACCTAGAATTCTGTCTAGAGGATGTGGAGAGCCTTTTTTGCAAGTGCTCCTGAGTCACTGGAGGCCCGTGAAAGTGACTGGGGAGTCACTGAGAGTGTGTTTTAGTTGTACAAGAGACTAAGAACAGGGAGTAGAGAGAAGGGAGCAACTCTAGAAGCAAAGGAAAGGAGCAATAGTGGGAAGAAGAAGACCTACTTTAATGTGGCTTAAGTGTGAGATGCCATGAATGGGAATATAGAAGTATGTATGTGTGTGTGAGATGTTTTAAAAAATAAGTATGTATATTTATATATTATTTTTATGTATAGTTACCAAGATATGTTTATATCTTTGTGTATCTATATATGAGAATATAACTATATATTACAATAGCAACTGCTAATAGTTACATATAACAAACAGCAAGGTGTCTGGATGGTTGGCTGAAGAAGGAGCCAGACAAATACTGTTACTGGTTTTGATATCAGTGTTATGTTGGATTAAAAAAATAAGAAATAGCTTTACAGTTCATTATATTGGTATCTATTTAGATTTCTTTCAACTCTTAATTTGTTTTACTAAGTTATTATCCTCAGAGTGTAAATGTTTCCATAATTTATGAGTGTGTAATTATGCAAAGTTGTGATATTGTGATTTATAATAAGAGATATATATTTGGCCTTCTTTCCCATGTTTGGCACAGAGCTCCTGAAGCCTTTGGAATTTCGTATGTGATGAGAACCATAAAGGTGTCTTTTGTTATGTTAATGAGATGACTTTTGGACCTCAAGAAAGGATGGGGGCTGGTAGCCAGGCGAACCCCTGTTATGATTAGAGGGTTGTAACTTTCAGTCCTACCTTCTCCCCCACCTCTGATATCCAGGGGAGGAGAAAGGGGTTGGAGGTTGAATCGATCACCAATGGCCAATGATTTGATCAGTCATGCCTACATAATGAAGCCTCCATAAAAACCCAAGTGGACAGGGTTGAGAGAGCTTCTGGGTTGGTAACTGTGTGGAGGTGCTGGGAGAGTGGCATACCTAGAGAGCTTATGGGAGCTCTGCACCCCTTCCTGTTGACCTTGCCCTCTGTAGCTCTTTCATATGGCTGTTCCTGAGTGATATGCATTAATAATAAACCAGTAATCTAGTAAGTACAATGCTTCCGAGTTTTGTGAGCTGCTCTAGCAAATTAATTGAACCCAAAGGGGAAACCTGTGGTTTATAGCCAGTAGGTAGAAGTACAGGTAACAACCTGTGTGTGTGGATGGGGGGGGGAGGCAGTCCTGTAGGACTGAACCCTTAACCTGTGGATCTGATGCTATTTTGAGGTAGACACTATCAGCATTGAGTTGAATTCTCACCCTGCTCATGTCTGAGAATTGCTTGTTCTTGTGGAAAAACCACCCCACTCCTTCGCACGTTGAAATTGGGTCCAGCAACCCAAATTAAAAGTATTAACTTTTATTTTTCTCCATTTCTAGGCTTTTTCTTGATTATGATCTCTAATATTATGTACTTACCACTACTTTTCTCCCCCCGAAAGACTTATTTTTATTGCCAAAGTTCTAATTTATTGTTCCATTCAAGGAACCTGTTAATTTATGGTTATTTTAACTTGCTTTTTTTCTGATTTTATCCTTATTGTATTTTCCTTTATTTCGCTTTTGCTCATTCTCTTTTTCTCCCTTGATTCTTGCATTACTTTTTAGTTTATTTATTGGGGAGTATAAAGCTTTCTCTAAATTTATGTCAGACTATATTCCGTACATTGTAATGGCACCTTCATTGTTATTAATAAACTGTAACTACAGTTTTGAATTTAGTTTTCTAC